CATAACATGGAAGCGATTACCGGCATTTTGCCGGCTGGGTTAATGGCATGGCTGACGATTTAAGTCGCCAGAATTTGGAGGCCTTCCGCCAGAAGGCCAGAGAGTATGGGTTCATGGAACCCATTCGTTTAGAGTTTGATAAGTCGCTCCATGACCTCCTCGTTCCCTTGGCTATGATGGTTCGCGACCATAAGATGGCCCTTTCTCAGGCACGCGACTAGGTCCTGCGGAGATGGGGGAGCCGGCGGCACCTGCGAATGGCCGGGATTGGTTATGGAGTACGGGCATGACAACTGAGCAAGCAGACAGCAAGTCTGATGCACAATTTATGGCACGCCTGACTGTGGGCCTCACGGGAGAGCAGGCAGCGATCGGCAACCAAGTGGTGGCGAAGCAAGCCAACGACCGTGCCGAAAGCACGAAGAGGAATCAAAAGTCAGCTTGGTCAGGAAAGGACGGATGGCTCACCTTTTGTGATGAGTATGATGTCAAACCTGTGCGGGTGCATGAAAGTGGACCAACTCCAGAGCTGATAAAATTTGATTCCAATTTGTTTGTGTGGTTTGCCCTATGGAAGATAGGCAAGATGCAGGGGCCGAAGGGCAAGGGCCGGGGCCAAGAGATCAACACGGTATTTCAGAATATATCAAGCATCAAAGGCTACACGAAGGAGAACTGGGGGCTTGAGGTCGAGCTTGACCAGAACTGGCTCAACAGCCAAAAGAATGGCTGGAAGGTGGAGCGGGTTACTAGTAAGACCCAGGGCCCAGCTCCACGGTTTCGGAAGCTTGCAATTGTGGCTAACCATATGATCCAGATGAAGCGCACTCCGATTGATTGGGCAAGGGACTGGCCCCATACCTTCTTTACCAGGTCATGGACCTTGCCTTTCTGAAGGGCGATGAGTTACGTCCGGAGATGAGATCTTTCCAGGATTTGATAAAACTTGGAAATGATAATATTCTCCAAAACTTGATAATTCCACCTGGGGAGACAGAGGACCGTCGGTTTCCCTCCATCGTTAGCGAGGGTGGGCTTCAGTTTAGACCACCGGAGCGAGGTTCAATGTGTTATATAGAGCCCGAATTTGAAGAATTCAGTTCTTTTGATCATGCAAGGCACATGTCAGAGAATGTGTCCATTTTTCTTAATAGTCTCCAGGAGGTTTCGATAGTTAACGGGCGATTGGTGCGTGGGGCTGAGAATAGCGGTAGCATTCTGCGAGGGCACTGCGCTTACTTAAGGGCTGCCGCCTACCTCAAAGCACAGGTGGTTCCAGCCTCTAGCGAGGATAGCTTTGGGTTGGAGGAACACTTGCGGAAGGCGACAACTGCGAGGTCTGATGAGCAAGCAGCG